CCTACAGATTCCTTAAAGAAAAAAGAGTATATAATATTTGGCTGACTTTTCAGGATGCCTTACTGATACTTCCAAACATCCAGCCTCCTCCGTGGAAAAAGATGACTCCCCTCCTTCGTTCCAATTTGGATTCTCTCGGCTGGTAAACCCTGACCGGGATGTCCTCGAACACGAGATCCTTAATCAGGAGTCTAGGATCATCTCCCAGTTTTTTGCCTTCTTGGGTGAAGCGGATGAAACGGATCTGAGAACAGAAGGAGAGGTTCTCCAGAATCTTCCCCTGTTTGGAAAGAACACAGGAATACATGAAGTTGCCTCATATTGAATCGACATCCAGATCGCAAGATGTCATAGGTCCTTTCCGCACATCCTTGGTTTTATTGGAGTTCAACTCACGACGTAATACCCTGCATTTATCCCTGGTTATAACAGCATCCGTTTATCCCGGGACAAGTGTGGGGCAATGTTCCCTCTAAACTGAGGAGTCTGGTGAGCAAAAAATTCTACTTCGTGAGCTACTAGAAGTAAAGTTGTGAGCAAGCGATTTGGCTACTGCATAGATTAATCTGGTCTGGAGCCCTCCTTCTTGAGCTGAGACAAAACTGTGTGAGCCAGAGGCCAATAAACTGTGAGCTAGCTCACACTAACTCAGTTTAGAGGGAACATTGGTGTGGGGTGAAACCCGGGTGACCTCAATGTAATGTGGAAACAAAAAAATACCCTGAGATAATTACAGGGGTGAGCTTGAGTGTAGTGTAGAATGTAAAAATACGCCAAGAAGATTATTACAGGGGTGAACTCACATGTAGTGTAGAATGTACGTTTGGGGACAGGGTTGAACCAGGATTTAAGGTCTAGTGCGGAAAGGACCATAGTCCCTCTGTACACTGCATTGGTCAGGCCGCACCTAGAGTATCGTGTGCAGCTCTGGGTGGCTCCAATCCTCAAATCTCCAGGTATTTCCCAACCCGGAGCTGGCAGCTCCAGGCAGAAAAGGGAAAATTGCATTGGCAGGGAGGAGATGCATAGTGAACACTTGCCATTCCCTATTTTGCATAACAAATGTTTACCTGGAGCATTTGTCTCCTGGTCCTTTGAGGACATTGCAAATTTATTGTAATTTCTCCCCTTTCCCTCAGGGAGAGCCCAGAAAGTCATAAGCAGGTTTTCCTCCTGGGAGGAGAGCAATAATAAGAAACACACCCAAGATGATCGTTTTCCAAGTCACACCCATCAGTTTCCAATTGCAGGCAGATTCCCAGGTTAAGGCACGTAAAGAAAGAGCGTGCACCTGGCATTAGGGCCTTTTGTATTTTACACATCTGAAAGTCCTAATAGACACGCATGCTGTATGTTGCCTTTGGGCTTGCAAACAGCCTGGGAAGAGTACCTTTTGCTTCTGTGGAAACAAGCATGGTCATGCACAACTGAATGGATAGACCTTCACCCAGGTGGAGCTAGAGACTGGATGTGATTGTATCGGTGTAAACAAAGGGTGCACTCTTTGATGACTCATCACATCAATCAATCAATGAGGTTAGAGTCACATTGGTGTAGCTCTTTTCCAGATCTTTCTTTTAAAATTGGGTAGAAACCAATGAGTAACTAGCTGTTGCCACTGGTGGATTTCTTGATCCCAGAAGTCATTGGTAAGAGCTTTGGTTCCCAGGGGATGGCTATGCTAGAGGGCTGATTCCCTTCTGTTGTGGCCCTTCTGTTGACACCAGCAGATAACCAGCCGGTGCTCTAGGCTGCGATTAGATGGGTGCAGCTTTGTTGGGAATTCTGATGGGAACAACAGCCTCAGGCCCAACCCTTTCCCTTCAAAGAGATGGTGTGGCTCTTTCATGATGTGGGCCCATGGGACGTAGCCCATGGCTTCTTGAGAGGACAAGTCCTTCTGCTTCACCAACAGCCCTTCATGAGAACATAAGAGAAGTCAATGTTGGATCAGGCCAATGGCCCAGCCATTCCAACACTCTGTCACACAGTGGCCAAAAATACCAGGTGCCATCAGGAGGTCCACTAGTGGGGCCAGGACACTAGAAGCCCTCCCACTGTTGCCCACCCCCCAAGCACCAAGAATACAGAGCATCCCTTGCCCCAGACTGACAGTTCCTACCTATACCTTGTGGCTAATAGCCACTGATGGCCCTCTGCTCCATATGCTTATCCAATTCCTTCTTGAAGCCGTCCATGCTTGTATCTGCCACCACCTCCTGTGGCAGTGAATTCCATGTGTTAATCACTCTTTGGGTGAAGAAGTACTTCCTTTTATCTGTTTTAACCTGACTACTCAGCAATTTCATTGCTTGTCTATTTCTATTGCTTGTCTTGCTTTCTGTAAAACGTCTTCAGTTTTTCAAGCGGGATGCCTGCAGGGGGACATTCCACAGGTGCAAATGGCAGCAGAGGTCTCTATGGAGGGGAGAGGACCTCTGTCCCTGGGGAGAATAGTGATTTCCCCTGCATCTTCTAGATAAATAAATATCCTGAAAAATAAGGATCCAGAAGACACGGGGGAAATTGGTAGGAGATGTGGGTCAAAATGTGGCCGCACAGCAAATAGTGGGAAATAGAGCAGTACAACTGGGGGAAACAGGAGACAGAGGGCAGAACAGCTACTTTTGCAGAATCGGTCCATATCTTCCTAACGCCATGACCCTCAGTTTTTGTACTAACTACCAGGTAGGGCCTGGAGCCCTCCCAGAGCTGCAACTGTTCTACAAGGATCAGTCCCCTCGGAGGAAATGGGAAGTTTTGGAAGATGGCCTCTATGCATAACATCCCCTCCTGAACTCTGCCTTCTCCAAGCTCCATCCCCAAATCTGCAGGAATGTATCAGCCTGTGTCTGGCAATGCTAATCCTCACAGCAATTATGGTGTGTGTGTTTTTGTGTGTGTGTATTTGTGTGTGCAGGAATTGGGCTCAAACAATGGTTGAAGAGAAATCCAGGTGGCCAGTCATGTTGGTCTGAAGCAGTAGAACAAAATTTAGAGTCGAGTGGCACCTTTAAGACCGACAAAGGTTTATTCAAGGAATGAGCTTTCGTCAGCCTTCTTCAAGCCCATTGCCCTTTGAATATTCATCAGAGAATGGAAAGGAGGAGAGTCCTTGGCCGTCTTTTCCTCCATTTGCAATTCCTTGTGGGTTCTTACTTATGCCTATCTATCATACCCAACATTCATGCCTGGACTCCTTCACTGCTGCGGAGCACAAGTCAGGGCATTTGCAGAATGCAGCAGAGGAGCATTATTTGTGCCAACTGAGAAAGTGGCTTGCCAGGGAAAGATCTCTTTCCCACCCAGTGAAATTTTTTTTTGGGCCCCCCGTAGGGGATTTTTTTGTTGCATTTTCTATAAACTACAAAGAAACAAGGAAGGGCAAACTACAAACTACAGGTGAAAGAAAAGAAAACCTCTAAAAACCCAAGAGATGGTGATCATTCAGAATGCTTTTAAAATTAGCTTCTAATAAATTGGCTTATACTTGCTGTGTTAAGTGAGTACATAATCCTTATTGCTTATAATAACTTCTCCAGCTAAACTGACAATACAAAGGGCTCTAAAGAGAAATGATTTACGTTCATTTAAAACAGGATCTAGAGAACGATCATAACTCATTTTTTCTCCTTTTTGTTTCTCAATCGATAGCTTAATTTAGGGGCAGCCGCCCCTAGTTCAGAAACTGAGTCCTCATCGGAAGGTGCCAGTACTCCTTCTTCTTCACTTCCCTTGCTGCTGCCATCTTCATCTTTTCCCCTGCTGGACCAGCATGTTAATGTAGAAATTCACGTGCCTTTGCAACAGAGTCAATCTTTCTTTCTTGTCTTTAAATTTGAAGAGCATGACTTCGGCAACATTCCATCTGTAGGGAACATTATTTTTCTGTAGAGACAGCCCCAAGTCTCTGTATTTCTTTCTCTTCTTCCTTATTTTAAATGGAATATTATTCAAAACTTTTATTTCTTTGTCTTTGATCTTCAGGTTGGCTCCATTTGTTGCTTTCAAAACTTGGTCTCTTACTTGTCTCCTGGAGAATCTCACCACATTCTCGCCGGGCAGATTTTTCTTTCTTATGAAGTCAAAATACGATCTGTATATCGTATCTATTTCGTTTTGTAAAAAATCTGCTTTTAAATCTGCAACTGGACCCAGAAAATTGCAAATAATCTGCTTCAGGTCTTCCCCTCTTTCTTCAGAAACCCCCTGGAATCATAAGACATAGCTTGCTTTTTCCATTTGCAGCTGTAGAAGTTGCACCTCATCAGTTGCTTGCTTTCCCCCCATCCCCTCCATTTGTTTCTGCAGCTTTTGTGTATTGACATCCACTTCTTTGAGCTCTTGCTCTATTTTTTCTGTCTTTTTAGTAGTTTCATTTAGCTGACTTTGTTGTGTATCGAATTTGGCATGGAGCAATGTCATTTGCTCCAGCTGAGGACACAGAGCCTCAGTCAGCATACTTTGGAAGTCTTTCATAGTGTCCTGTGTAGGACCAGAACTTGCTGGGCTGGCATTTTCGGCAGGGAACTTCAGTTTCGATTTCTTGTCCTTCTCCTCCTTCTTCAGAGGCGCCATGTTTGGGAATTGTTTACTTTTAAAAAAAGTGTTATCAAAGTCTCAAGATCCTTTAAAGTCACTTGGTAAGCTCTCAAAAGTTCTTCATTTTAGTCTGTTCGCTTTTTCAATCTGCCCCCCCCCCATAGTAACGTTTATCAGTCTGCTTTTTCTTCTCGAGGGGGAGTCCCTCCCCCCGTTCTGTTAAGGGGAAACTTTCAGATTGCTTTCTGGTGTCTTCACTTAAACAAACACTCACTTTCCCACATAGATCTCACCTTTTGTGATTAACTTGCCCGGCCACCAAACGCTTGTCCTGGTGTGCGTCCCCGTGTCCATTTTGGAAATCAGTAGTGTGACTGTCAGGGCAGGGATTGGCCCCCCTTCGCCATCCGTTTGCTGGAGGAAGGACCCTCCTAGCACCCCATGGCTATGGAGCCCATCACAAGGGCTCCAGGGGAGGTGCACATGATCGCACCCCCTCCCATCTGCTGATTCACAGCCCATGTCTCTCGGAGCTCCGAGAGATCATGGCCACCATTTAGGGAGCCAAAACCAGAAACCACACCCAGTGAAAATTTTAGATGGTCCTACAGTCAGTGTTTGCTGCCATGCTGGAATGAACCTAGGAGCATGCAGTCATTAACACTGTGTTGTTTTCCTTTGCTCTTTTATGGGAAAAGAGATTTCTTTATCGAGGAGATGTACGCATGCACTGAGTAA